CGCAGATGACATGATATTGTACATAGAATGCCCCAAAGACCCCACCAAAAAACTACTAGATTTAAAAAATTAATTCAGCAATGTAGCAGGATACAAAATAAACATCCAGAAATCAATGGCATTTTTATACACCATTAATGAATTCTCAGAAAGAGAAATTAAACAATCCCATTTGCCACTGCAAGAAAAAATTTAAGATATTTAGTAATAAACTTAACCAAGGAGGTAAAAGACCTGAACTTGCAAAACTACAGGATGTTGAAAAAGAGAGCCAGAGGGTGATCTAAAAGAGTGGAAACATATACCGTGTTCATGTATTGGTAGAATCAACATCATTAAAATGTCCATACTACCCAAAGCAATGTACAGATTCAATGCAATCCCTATTAAAATACCAATGGCATATTTCACAGTTCTAGAACAAATACTCCAAAAATCCATATGGAACCAAAAAATACCCCAAATATTCACCCCAGTCTTGAGAAAGAAGAACAAAGTTGGAGGGATCACAATACCATATATCAAGTTATCTTACAAAGCCACTGTAATCAAAAGAGCCTGGTACTGTTATAAGAGCAGGCATATAGATCAATGGAACAGAACAGAGACCTCAGAATTTAACCCAAGCCATTACACTCAATTAATATTTGACAAAGGAAGCAAGAACATACCATGGAATCAGCACAGTCTCTTCAATAAGTGGTGTTGGGAAAATTGGACAGATGCATGCGAAAAAATGAAACTAGACCACTAATTTACACCGTACACAAAAATAAACTCAAAATGGATCAAAGACTTAAATGTAAGATGTCAAACTAAAAAAATCCTAGAATAAACCACACGCAGCAAAATTTCAAAAATATCTCGTAGCACAGTGGTTGGCAAACCGCAGCTCAAGAGACACATGTAGCTCTTTAGCCCCTTGAGTGTGGTTCTTCCACAAAATACCACGTGCGGGCGCTCAGGGACAGTGCAATTGAAACTTCGTGGCCCATGCGCAGAAGTTGGTTTTCGGCCTGGGTGAGTCTATTTTGAAGAAGTGGCATTAGAAGAAGTGGGGGATGTCGGTCGGTAGGGCAAGGAGAGATGGGGCGAGGCGCGTGCCATTCATGCAGGAGTTGAGTGAGCCAGTCAGTCAGCAGTCTCATTGAGCAGTGGTTAGTGCTAGTCGCGTCCGCAAATCGCACGCAAGGATACAAGGCGAGTGTGTATGGGAGAGTTGGAAGAGGTTGACCTCAGCGAACGTACCTCAATCAGATTGAGGACGTTTTTAGCAAAGGCCAGCTTAGGAGTACCCTAATTAAGTTAATAAAAATGTACCTGAGAAACAGCAATCAGGCTATCAATCCCCAGAAGGAAAGTAGGGGAGGGTGGGGGTAAGGGGAAGAGATCAACCGAAGGACTTGTATACATGTATATAAGCCATACCAATGGACATGGTCAACAGGGGGGATGGGAGCATGAGTGTGTGTGTGGGGGAGGTTGGGGGTTAATGGGGGGGATGAGGACACATTTGTAATACCTTAACTAATAATAAAAATAAAAATAAAAAAAAATGTACCTACCTATAAAGTTTAAGTTTAAAAATTTGGCTCTCAAAAGAAATTTCAATCATTGTACTGTTGATATTTGGCTCTGTTGACTAATGAGTTTGCCCACCACTGTCCTAGCAATATATTTATGGATACATCTCTGAGGGCAAGGCAAACTAAGGAGAAATGCACAAATGAGACTACATCAAAATAAAAAGCTTCTGCACAGCAAAATAAACTGTCAATAAAATGAAAAGGGCTCAATATATGGGAGAACATATTTGGTAATGATACATTTGATAAAGAGTTAAAATCCAAAATATGTAAGGAAGTCATACAACTTAACAAAAGGAAGATAAACAATCCAATTCAAAAATGGACAAAGGACCTAAATAGACACTTTTCAAAAGAGGACATTCAGAAAGCCAAGAGACATATGAAAACATGCTCAAAGTCACTAATCATCCAAGAAATGCAAATCAAAACAACAATGAGGTATCACCTCCCACCTGTCAGAATGGCTATCATCAATAAACGACAAGTGCTAGTGAGGATGTGCAGAAAAAGGAACCCTCGTACACCACTGGTGGGAATGCAGACTGGTGCAGCCACTGTGGAGAACAGTATGGAATTTCCTCAATAAATTAAGAATGGAATTGCCGCCGAAACCGGTTTGGCTCAGTGGATAGAGCGTCGGCCTGCGGACTGAAGGGTCCCAGGTTCGATTCCGGTCAGGGGCATGTACCTGGGTTGCGGGCACATCCCCAGTGGGGAGTGTGCAGGAGGCAGCTGGTTGATGTTTCTCTCTCATCGATGTTTCTAACTCTCTATCTCTCTCCTTTCCTCTCTGTAAAAAATCAATAAAATATATTTAAAAAAAAATGGAATTGCCATTTGACCTGCTGTGGAGCGCGAGTGACAGAATGACCAGAACTCCAGACTGATTAAAATTTAGAGAGCCTTTATTGACTGGCCAGTGTCCGCTCCTCCACTCGGGAAGCCCAAGAGAGAAGCGGCCCCGACCATCTGCAGAGTCCAATATTTAAAGGGGACAACTGCATCCGTGTTCAGGTTCCCATAGCAAGCAAAGCCAAGTTACAAAAGCTAATTGCGTAGTTTTAGCCAAGCTACTCATCCTCCTCCTGTCACTCATTTCTGGGTAACGTAAAGGCCAGGACTGTTCTTAATTGTGATCTGTCTGTGCTTTGTAGGCTGTTGCTCAGGAGTGTTGATCTGTTTGTTCTTTGTGGGCCGTTGCTCAGGTGTGGGAGCTCAGTTCCTAGAAACTTTGCACAGGCTGTCAAGCGGCTGAGGTGGCTAGGGAATTAAGCAGGCCTAAAAGTTTTCCTACTCTGTAACAGACCCAGTGATCTCACTTCTAGGAGAAGAGACCTGAATCAACAATCAGAAAGAATGTATGCACTCCTATGTTCACAGCAGCACAATTTACAATAGCTAAAGTACCCATCAGTAGATGAGTGGATAAAAAGCTGTGGTAATTGGAATAATATGCAGCAGTAAAAAAAAGAAGGCTCTCTTACCCTTTGAGACAGCATGGAGAGACCTGGAGAGTATTATGCTAAGTGAAATAAGCCAGTCAGAGAAAAATAAGTATTACAGGATCTCACTCATATGCGGAATCTAATGAAAAAAATAAACTGATGAACAAAATAGATCCAGATACATGTAAGCATGGAACAGACTGCAATCTGAGATGGAAGGCAGGGGAGGGTGGTTGGATGGGAAGATATTAACCAAAGAACTTGTATGCATATATGCATAACCCATGGATACAGAAAATAGGGTGGTGAAAAACTGGGGTGGGGGTGAAGGCGGCTAAAAGAGGTCGGGGTGGGGGGGGGGAAGGGGACATATGTAATACTTTCAACCATAAAGATTTTTAAAAACCACATTGCAATGTATTTCTTTTTTCCTCATTCTTTTAAAATGTCTATGTTGGAGTATTTTTATGTGTGTGTATTACAATATATGCATAATGTAATATATAAAGTATATATGCACAGTAGTACATGTATATAATCTATAAATATATATAGATATATTGAGGCCTGTGCTCAAAAGTTTCCTGTTATTACAGATACAAATGTGGGAGTAAAAAATTGAGGACTATGTGTATCTCCCCTCCATCAGAAGAGGGCTTTAGTATGTTTGGAGGAGAGGGGAGGAAGTGGTTTAAGTAGGAGCACAAGGGATTCAATTAGAACTCTTCATTTTATTTTTAGAGAACAATACTTATTGATGATATGATAGGCATTCATATTCAACAAATATTTTCTGAGCATGTCCTATGTAACAAGCATTGCCCTAGGCCCTGGGGATATGATGGTGAATCTAGACAGTCCCAATCCTTGACTTTATAGTGCAATATAGTTTAGTGGAGGAAGGCAGTTATCAATTGAAATAATCATACATTTAAATATCTAATCATGAACAGATAAATATTATGAAGAAAAAGCAGGAGTCTGCAAGAGAATAAATCAAGGCAGTCTCTCCATTTGGGGGTTATTGAGAAAGGCTACTCTGAGGAAGTGACAGTTTAATTGGGCCATGTGGGATTGATTAAATAGTTCACTTGTGAAGAGGTAGAGTGAGACTGGCCTAGATGGAGGGAGGTTATTGTGAGGACCTTTAAGGGGCACACGGTGAGTGAGGGGCAGTGCCATACAGGCACAGGTTCTCAGATATCAGAGAAGATTCATAGGTGGATCTACCTATGGGCTAAATAACCCCAGGAGCTAATCCTCCTTTGATAACAGGAAAGAATAAATCACAAAGTTGGAGGTACAGAGGGCCAGAGGAGACAACAAAAAGAAGCTGGGCACAAGTGGAATATTTCATTCTACCTCAGCAACATTTCCAGAAATGTCTAGCAATGCTCTCTGTGTGTCCCTCGAGAATACTAACTGGTAAGGGTAAAGGATGGTGTGCCTTCTATGCCTGAGGTACAGATGTGAATCTTTATTTTTGGATTGCCATGAGAATTTTATGAGCAGTAGCCAGCTAGAGGACCTAGTAATGTGTTGTGTAATGTATTTACTATTAATGTATTTCCCTGCGCTGTTTGAAACAGGAGAATATATGTGCTATCCTTTTGGCAAAAGTAGAGGGTTTAGCGGTAAGGTAAATGAGTTAGGTCGAAGGGTAACTGCGGAAAATGGTGCTGTGGAACCCGGCTGCAGAGGAGCTAAGTGGGAGAGCAATATTTGATGGTCCATTGTCGCTCTGCCTACTGAGGGGAGGGGAGGATGACAAGGGAGACCTGGGTTGGACAATGAGCATTAAAGGAAACAGTGAGGCAGGGTGAGCTCTGGACCTGCAAGGGCCAGAGACAGCCGGGTCCCCAGCGACAAGAAAGGGGCCCAAGGAGGCGGCGCGGGCCCCGCCCCCTCCCCTCGCAGGCGCGGGCTCGAGACGCTGCGCGGCAGTAACCGCAGGCGGGCGCGAGCAGCAGCTGTCAGGCCACCGAGGTCCAAGCTGCACTTGCTGCCCCACTGAGGACGGGGAGGCAGTAGGAGCAGTGACAGTGTCGCTGAGGAGCCGGGCGGCCGGCTCTCAGAGCTGACTGTCTGGTACCCGTGGCTCTCTTCTATCTTTGTCCCATTGTGTCGGGTAAGGTGACTGTGCGTGGGCAGGGAGCGAGGCCAACAGCCGGGACCCCAGAGGCCCGGAGGTGGGGGGGTTGGGGAAAGATGAATAAAGGGAGGTCTAGGTAATTTCTGGGGGCACTCGCACCTTGGGAAAGGGCCCTCAGCAGTGCAGGGGTCAGAGTTGGGGGGTAGGTGACTGTTGGGGAGGTGGGGGTCGTTGCTGAGTAATCCAAGCGGCTGCCAGAGCTGGGCAGGGAGGGGTAGGACTCCGTGGGGAACGGGTGTGGCTCAGTGCGCATGCGCCACGGCCTCTGGTTCTAAGAGCTGGGGGTGAGATGAGAGGACCTGGGTCCGAGGTAGCTGAAACTATGCCTGACATCACACTTTTTAGATCCCCAATGCTAACAGTGCCCCTGTCATAGAGATAACATTCCTGGTCTTCTAAGGAAGCTTCTCCCGGTACTTTGATCACTTACCCAAACCTTACCTATTTGTCTCTAGCTAGTCTACTTGGGAAGAAGTGGCCTGGGGACAGTGCCAAATTGCTATCTAGTATGCCTTCAGGCTCATAGCCACGGAGCTGTCATCCTGAGGAATGAAAGGTTAGAGGTGAAATTCCACATTGGTCCCTTCTAGATGCATATAAGATCTAAATATGGACATAAATGTGAGAATAGCATTTCAGTGGCATGACAGCTGTGACTGTTGGACTCAGTGCATGGATATAGCTGATTATTTGTTAGCTCCACAAAATGAATCCAGTGTACACGTCAGAGGGCTTACCTGCTAGGAATGCCACCACCACCACTAAGCATCAGGTTGAATTGGAAATAACCTACACCGTTTGAGGTGGAGGAACTCAAATATTTTATCATTTCTTATTTGTATTGATTTTCACATAGATTAAAGATCACCTCTCCCAGTTCTCCAGTGCAGTATTAACAAATTTATGCCAGGAATCAACAGTGAGTTGAGTAGCCTCAACCAGTATGTCACCACAAGATGGGCTTTCCCTACAACCCCAACTATGGCTCCTCCCCTGTGCAGATTGCAGCCAGTGCCACTCTCACCACCACCCCCCCCCTCGCGCCCCCCCCCCCCCCGCCCCAGCCATGTAGTACAATCCCTCTCAAGACTTGCTCCCAATCTGCACTATGGATTTGAGCATCATTCTACCCATGGCAACTGAATTGACTTGCCAATTTGCGTTTCTATCTCTCTTCTCTCCATCATCACACTAAAATGTACTATTTTCAAAGCTTCAACCTCTTTCTCATGATTGTACTGCCTTCTCCCTCACCTCCATTCCCACTCCCAACTAAACACAATCAGTGGGTGCCAGCACAGCAGATTCAGAAGGTTTCAAGTATGTTGAAAAGCAAAGAAAGCTGGCAAGTATCTGTTATATGAATTCCTAATTCATCTTACTGTCTAAGATGTATACCCTAATTGGAATAAAAAGTGAATAAGCTATCCTTAGAGAATTCTTGTTAATATATTTGGGGCCATGGGATAGGAAAGGAGAATTGCATTTCTATGATAGTTGGTCTGTTAAAGCCAGATCTTTCTCTGAATGGGACCAAAATCAGAATAAACATTTTAGTCGAAATCCTAACTTGACATGGGATCCATAAAGGATGTATAAGGGGTTTGATTTACCTATTAAATGTACTTAGAGTTATCAAAGGGTTCTTTTGCCTACATTATGCTATCTTTTTTAAGGTTTGATTTAAATTTGGCATATTCTGGGGGAGGAAAATTGATTTGTTTGTATACTGTGCTAGTTTTTTAAGTATGTACTAAAGAAGATCACACTCATTTTCAGTGATGATGATGATGATAGTAGGGATGCCAGCAACCACTAAAAACACAAAATTGAGATCTTGTTTTTGATGGGAATGGAGGGATCTGTATACTTATTTTTAAAATGTGAGGGAAGGGGAGGAAAACTTGAGTATTTCCACCAACTTTCAACAGGTGGAATTTCTGTTATATTCCATCTAGAAAGTGATCCATATAAGACCATAACTTCTGCTATTTAGTCACCTTATACTAGTAAATAATAGTATTTGGATTTCTTACAGAACTGTGGCCTATTGTACCTTGGCATAAATTTAGAGGCATTAGTTTTGGGCACCTACTTAAACAATTGATGGACAAATATTTATTGATTAGCTATATGAGGACTCTGCTACTGCATGTTGAAGTGGCTTCAAAGACATACAAACAAGGGCCTTACTATCTGGGTATTTAAAATTTGGTTGTGTCAGAAAGACATACTTGGAAATAAGGTTTTCGTAACAAAATAAGGTTGGTATAATGCTACTGTTTCAACTGTAAACCATGAGATCTGAAGCTTATATGTTAATTTGTAAACTCCTTGAGGATAAGACCTCGCCTAAAACACGTATGCATGTCCAACAGTGAGTGCTCAAGTGATTAAGCTTTGCAAAGTAGATTAGGTAAGGGAGAAACCAGAGGCAAGGGAGAGAACAGTCAGGAAGCTTTCATAATATATTAGATGCAAGGAGATGTGGGCCAAAATGAGGATGGTAGCAGAGGATCAGAAAAGGATATTCCAAGGAAAAATCAGCAGGATTTAGTGAGTGAAGGCAAGGAGACAAGCCTAAACTGTATTCATCTCTACTTCCAGCGAACAAACAAGACTTGGAGATAGCAGAGGTGAATAGAAGGTCACCTTAGTAAGGAAACTGCACCCAATAGGCACTCAAATGTTTTCTCAAGCATCAATAGCAGGATTGGATGAGAAAATCCTTAAGGTCCCTCCACACTGAGATTCTGTGGCAGATACTCAAAATTATTGGGAAACAAGGCCTTCTCAAATATGGAAGACAAAGAAAATGAAGAATTGTTATATTCCTACTGGCAGGCCCTTTTGAGAAGGGTTAATACTGAGTCATAAGGCTCCCTCCAGTGAGTGAAAGGAGGTAGAGGAGCAAGAGGAACAAACATCTCAAAACAAAAATTTCAATAAATGCATACAAATTTTTGCAGGCTTCATAAGTTATTCACCCCCCTCCCCAAATCCTATGAGTTAAGTAGGACAGGTATTATCAGTTCTATTTTTATATAGGACGATATTGAAACACAGAAAGATTAAGTGACCTGTCCAATTTCATAAAATAAATTAATGGGAAAGCAGTGATGAAGACTCTTATCTCCAGATTGCTGCCAGCCCAGTGCACTTGACATTGAACCACATTGCTTTTCCTCCCTATGTACCCAGAAGTTATGTGTGCACATGACCAAATAGGGAATGCACAAGCAACTGCAGCATTATCTCAGATAGTTATTAATACTTCATCATTATTCCTGGAGCTGAGTATTTGGTTTCCATATGCACTCAGTCCTTGACCCATCATCTGATGTATCCGCAGTAAGGAAAGTAGAGTTAGTAAGTCATTGAATGATATGAACACCTGTTTGCTAGATATTTAAAGTTTATTTGGCACAAGCCCTTAATACTACTAGTATTGTGCCCAAGTTTTCACTTCCTTCTATTGCTTTTCTAAGTGAGAGTTCAAGAGTTCTGTTATGAAAGTTATTACACAGACCAGTATTAAAAATAAAGAGGTGTACTAGCACTTCTTTCATCACCATTTAAAGAAATGTATGTTACTTGAGCTAGTGCCAAAGACAGAAGTTTGAGAACAGAGAAAAGAGGACAAAAATAAAGAATTGTGGTAAACTTGAGAATACTTTAGAATAGATATAGACCAAGAAGGAGGATAAAGCCTATCAATTTAAAAGACATTACTTAAATTCATAATTACTAATTTATATTTCTAATAAATCCCTTATAATATTCTTTATTATATTTGAAGAAAATAACATGACAAACAAAATAGGTCCAGAGACCTGGAAGCATAGAACAGAGTTACAGATCTTAGAAGGAAGGGGAGCAGGAAGAGAACTTACATGCATGCATGTATAACCCATGGACACAGATAATAGTGCAGTGGAGGCATGAGGTATGGGGGGGGGGGCGCGGGGAAGCTGGGTGGAGGGGAGCAAAAGGGAGGGAAATGGGGGACATTTATAATACTCTCAACAATAAAAAAATTTTTAAAAAATTACATGAGATTATTAAGCAAGAGAGATTGTTTTTTAAAGTTTCTTTATTCCTCACTATGAAAGAATACTCAACAAATCTAAGGACTGTTTTTCTTTTTAGGCCAGTATTCTTTGATTTCAGAGGGGAAGGGAGAGGGAGAGAGAAATAGAAACATCGATGATGAGAGAGAACCATTGATTGGCTACCTCCTGCATGCCCCACACTGGAGATCAAGCCCTCAACCTGGGCATGTGCCCTGACCAAGAATTGAACTATGACCTCCTGGTTCATAGGTCGATGTTCAATCACTAAGCCATGCTGGCTGGGTGACCAGTATTCTTTTTTTTTTTTACTTTATTTTTATTGTTGACACTATTACAGATGTCTCACATCCCACCTCCCCTTAGCCCACCTCCACCCAATCCCCACCCCTTCCCCTCTGGCCATCCCATGCTGTTTAGACCAATATTCTTGATGATGGTTAAATAAAATTCTTGCCATAATTAACTAAAATGTTAAATGAAGTTGCGTTTCAATTTAATAAAGCCAGTTAAATACTAAAAGTTGTGTTCAAGACAGATGATCAAAATTAATGAGTAAAATAATTAGCCAATAGAATATATTGTAAATAGGGAATTCCCAAACATAACTTTTTCTTCTCTGATCTTGTGAAATCAAATGCAGAGACAAACTCAAGGAAGATTGATGAGTGTGCTAGGACAGTGGTGGGCAAACTCATTAGTCAACAGAGCCAAATATCAACAGTAAAACGATTGAAATTTTTTTTGAGAGCCAAATTTTTAAACTTAAACTCTATAGGGAGGTACATTGTTATTAACTTAATTAGGGTACTCCTAAGCTGGCCTTTGCTAAAAAACGTCCTCAATCTGATTGAGGTACGTTCGCTGAGGAACCCTTCCAACTCTCCAATCCACACTCATCTTGTATACTTGTTTCAGATAGATGAGTGTGGATGGGAGAGTTGGAAGAGGTCGACCTCAGCGAATGTACCTCAAAACAATGTACCTGCCCGGTGCTGCGTATCCCGTCGCCTGACCAACTGACACCCCCCACTTCTTATAACACCACTTCTTCAAAATAGACTCGCCCAGGCCAAAAACCGACTTCTGCATATGGGCCACGAAGTTTCAATCGCACTGTACATGCACGCCCGCACATGGTATTTTGTGGAAGAGCCACACTCAAGGGGCCAAAGAGCCGCATGTGGCTCATGAGCTGCGGTTTGCCAACCAGTGTGCTAGGAAGTTCTTGGAGATAATAACATTGATAGGTATAAAGGGAAGGAGTTTCATCTCTGAGATAGAATCTCAGCATATCTTAGATTCTCTGTGCTTTCCCTTTCCTGAATATCTTCTGTGAATATCACCTACTTTCTTTGGCTTACTTTGATTGGAGTGCTCAATAGAGAGACAATATAGAAGTTTAAAATTACATAAAGTACACTCAAATTAGGACAAGTTTAAGTTTTTGCAATAAAATTATTTGTCCATATTAAACATTTATAGCATTTTAAAACTCAAGTATATTTATGAAAAGCATTCTCTGTAGCTAAGTTGAGGTTGGTCTGTTGTTTTCCTGACTTGAGCAATATATATATTGCTCACACACACACACACACACACACACACTAGTGGTCCGGTGCACGAAACTCGTGCATGAGGGAGGGGGTGTTCCTCAGCCTGGCCTGCACCCTCTCAAATCTGGGACCCCTCGAAGGATGTCCTACTGCTGGTTTACAGGGATTGGGCCTAAACCGGCAGTTGGACGTCCCTCTTGCAATCTGGGACTGCTGGCTCCTAACCACTCACCTGCCTGCCTGCCTCCCTGGTTGCCCCTAATCACTCTGCCTGCAGGCCTGCTCGCCCCCAACTGCCCCCTGCCACCGGCCTGCTTGCCTCCTAATGCCCCCACCACCAGCCTGATCACCCCTAACTGCCCCCCATGCCAGTGTGCTCACCCCTAAATGCCTCTCCTGCCAGCCTGCTCATCCCCAAATGCCCCCCTTGCTGGCCTGCTCAGCCCCACCTAGCCTCCCCACTGGCCTGCTCACTCCAAACTGCCTCCCCCCCACTGTCCTGATCACCTCCAACTGACCCCCAATGATGGTCTGTTTGCCCCCAACTGGCCCCCCTGTTGGTCTGCTTACCCCCAATGGCCCCACCCCCCACCAGCCTGATCACCCTCCCCTCTTGGCTTCTAACTGCTTCTACCTCGGGCCCATCACCATGGCTTTATCCAGAAAAACGTCTGCAAGGTCTCCTGAAAGGTCTCTCAGTCTAATTAGCATATTACCCTTTTATTAATATATATATAATTTATTTTATGATAGATTTAAAAAAATGTTTCCCAATTTGTTTTTTAGAATCCTAGAACAGAAAAACAACAACAACAAGAAAAAGACAAGATTGTGACAAAGACCCAACTGGGTAGGTTTATATTTTATATTCAACTGGACAGATAATATTTTATATTTTTTCCATTGGATCTTCTAAAAATGACTGTTTAGAAAAATATATGATTAGTACACATGCACACCAATATAATTTTAAGGACTACTGAAGGTTTTTAAAATTACATTTCAAATGTATTTGACTCCAGAAACACTTTTGTATGTACTGTTTGATTAGTGATTACTTTTCATCTCTTTGGGTCTCGTGCATAAATAACACGCAATTAACATCATCATTGTTGAGTTTCCACAATAGAGCTTGTGTGAAAGTACCTAACAGAATCTAGTACAAGGTAGTTGTTCAGTAAGCATTTGATCTTTTTATCTTAAGATGCATTCTAGGTATTTCATGTATAGACATGTTATGGAGGTAACCAAAGGATTCAGTATAATTATTAGTACTTTAAAAATTATAAAATGTTTCTTTAGTGCTAGCATGAAATTAGAACCTAAAACTAAAAATTAATAAGCTATTCAGATATTCTTCCTGAGTGACAGCTATTATATTGGTACCAGTCAACTGCCATCAACTTAATTGCTATTGTTCCATGAAGAAAAGATTATGGATGATCCTTTATTTGTGAGGGCATCCATATTAATGCAAGTATAATGAGGCAAATGCCAGAAGAAACTTGACCTTTTTCTCTCTTCCAAGTTTGGTCTAATTCTAACCTAAACATATACTGACAGAATTCTAACTCATATAACCTTCTCTCCTCAGTATATCAGGAACAGACTTCAAACTCCAAATCAATTTCACACTATTTGCCTGTTTAGAACTGTCAAAATCTGAAGCTAATATGGTTACACATTTGAGTGGTATTCCTGTTCTAGGTTTTCTCATCAAAGAGAGAATAGGGTCAGAACTGAACCAAATTGCAGCACCGTTTGCTAGTCCACTTATCCATGGCATTCAGCCATTCCTGGCACAGACAATAGACCTCAGACAAGCAAGACCTATTTTCTCCCTCATGCAAAAAAAGTTTTATTCCTTCTGTTATACTCTATTAGTTAATGAGCATGAATCAAGAGAAGCTAAATTAGAAGGCTCCATAATTCAGAGAAACTTATTATGAAGTTGATTTCAATTTCAAATTTAACTGTTTTCCCTCTTACTTTTTATTTTATTTTCAGGTTATCTTGGTTAGAAACTCTTCCCCATCTGGTGCTGCAACAATGAGTGGTAAATCCCTGCTCTTAAAGGTCATTCTCTTGGGTGATGGTGGAGTTGGGAAAAGCTCGCTTATGAACCGTTATGTAACGAATAAATTTGACTCCCAGGCTTTTCATACCATAGGGGTAGAGTTCTTAAATCGAGATCTGGAGGTAGATGGACGTTTTGTAACTCTCCAGATCTGGGACACTGCAGGACAGGAACGTTTCAAGAGTCTTAGAACACCCTTCTACAGGGGAGCAGACTGCTGCCTCTTGACCTTCAGTGTGGATGACCGACAGAGCTTTGAGAACCTTGGTAACTGGCAGAAAGAATTCATCTACTATGCAGATGTGAAAGACCCTGAGCACTTCCCTTTTGTAGTTCTGGGTAACAAGGTAGACAAAGAGGATAGGCAAGTGACTACTGAGGAGGCACAAGCCTGGTGCATAGAGAATGGAGATTACCCTTATCTAGAAACAAGTGCCAAAGATGATACTAATGTGACAGTGGCCTTTGAAGAAGCTGTCAGGCAGGTGTTGGCTGTAGAGGAACAGTTGGAGCATTGCATGTTAGGTCACACTATTGACTTGAACAGTGGTTCCAAAGCAGGATCTTCATGTTGTTAAAAGTAAGAAGCCTTTTAAAGGTGTACCCCAAATTGGTCAGTCAATAGTGTAAGAATAACTGTGCCCCTCTAAGAGTGCGCACACACACACAAAAAGAAAGGGTAAGAGATAAAGTTGTAATTGTTAATTAGAGCCTTTCAAGCTGAAGTTGTAAAGCAACTTTTTAAAGAGTGCTTTATCAAGCCAAGTGTATTTTGCGTGATTTCTGCTATTTCCTTCTTGTGTGCATCAGGACACTTCAGAAAACTTTAGTCCTGAGAGATTTAAATATTTTTTCAAATCACAGTTTAAACTTTGAACCCAGCTGCATGAAGGAATTAAAGAGCTATAGCTATTCCTTAAAGTGTTCCATTAATCAACTAATAAATGTCACCACCAACTCTTGCCAAACAGTTTCTGACATGTCTGCCAAAGGGGGAAAATAATACTCTGAGCTTTATTACAATAAAATAATAATGCAAACAAGGATTTCCTAAGCTTGAATTATAAAGAGGTTGTAATGATTAGGAATACAAAAGTATAATGATGTACACTGCCTTGTTTAAACCTTTATGTATGCTTTGCTGCCATCTGAGCTTTTCAAAATATACCACCTCAATAAGAGATACACTGATGACATTGGAAATTGATTATACTCCTTGTGTTTGAAGTAACAGGGTACTAGAGAATGTATTATGCTTAAATATGCCAACCACCCTTGCAAATAAATGGTTGGTCTGCTTTTACTTCATAAGTCTACTTTTGCTGCCTAGGGATGTTGCTTCTCTGACAACCTCTTATCAATTTAGCAATGCTGCTTAGTATATGGCTTTGGATGCAGTGCTCTCTGCTCATAATTTTGATGGTCATTTGGTCCATCATGCTGTGCTCTCAGAGAAGCCTTCAGAAAAGAGTGGGGGATAATGGGCTTTTCTCACAAGCATCCTTAACTCCAATATTTATTGTATACGAAGAAACTGGGTTTTTGTTGTTGTTGTTGTTTTGTATGTTGTACTGTATGTTCAGCTGGCCAAACTAGGATATTAAAAATGACAAGAGAGCATACTTTAACCCAGCATTAGAATTAAGTTCTCGTAATTAGAATTGTCCAACAGTGGAATGGACTGCCTTAATAGTAAACTTTCCAGTAAAAATATTCAAGTAGATGCTGGATGACCATGTGTTAAAATACCATTAAAAGGATTTCTGTACTGGCTGAATGTTTCTTTTCAGGTCCCTTCCAGCTCTAAGTTCTATAAGTCTGTAAGCTACAAACTACATTTCAGTGCCATGTTACAATTAGATGCTTCTTAAGACAATAGCTAAGACTATGGAGAGGGACTTTTAAAATGCTCAAACTATTCTGGGATCAGCATTTAACAGTAACTACATAGCTCTATCTTTTGCTTTTGTAATAAGGCAGGAAAAATTCTTGAGATCTGAGTAATAATTATGAGCCCAGATAAAAATGTCCTAAAGAAAGCATATTAAAATACAAAAGTGGTTTGTCAAAATTTGATTACTATGACTGATAGCTATCTATATGCCTTCTGGTTCTTGTTGGTTGACTTGTTTGTCCTGCATAGCTTTTTATCTGTACTTTTTAAACATCTATGATAAAAATAGTGACCCAAGTTAGTGAGGAGCAATTATAAATGACCCCCAAAAGACACCTGGGCCAAGGAGGGGGTGGGAGCTTTCACAAGAATACAGCTTAGAATTCTCCCTTGTAGTCACATATGGAATCAGCCTTACACATGGGACCTTATGTACTTTAAGAGCTCTGGGACTTTTTGGCCACCTAGACAAATTTAAGATGGCATTTCAACCCAGTCGTATTCAATATTTCCAATTTAAATATAGTCCTGACCCCATTGGCAAACTAACATTTATGCCAGAAGTCAAAGACAGAACTGGGACCCTGTAGCTCATAAGAATTGGTCCCTATCCTGCCTATGCCTATAGCCAGCCACACTGGTTTCCAAATTTTATGATCATTTTGCTACAATCATGTTAGGGTGAAAATCTGTACGTCAGAACTGTTAAATGCTAACTGTTTTAAAGTGCATGAGACCTGGGGCCTTCTCTTTCTACTTGCACTCTGCTTAAAATAGTTTCTATTTGTAGATCTCAGGCCTTCATAAAGACCTCCATTCACTCACAAAAGTACTTGTCTCTATCAGAACGGCATGTGGTCATTTAAGTAAAAAAAAAAAAAAAGCGTGGATATCCCATTCATAGGTCTCCTGTCCATTCAACACAAGTGTTAATTTTATTGGCAGGTCAACTGAAGCCCCTTTCCTCTTAGCCATGCCAACTTTTTTTCTGCCAAATCACTATACAATATCTTTAAAAAAAGCATTTAACATTAAGTGACAAAAAACAGTGGTATTTTGGTGAGCAATACTCAGTGAGGTGTTGCTGTATAATTTGAATAAGATTAAAAAACATCAAAAGCTGAGATCTGTGAGTCCCAGGAACTGTGCATATAGGCTTAGAAATTGTGTACCGAGAATGTGCAGTGCAGTATTTTCAGTAGTTTTTTTTCATGAACACTAAGTTTTTGAATAAGCTATTTCTAATTGAAACTATACTGTTTTTCAATGGTTCATTAGAATGTCATACAGAATATTTATTTTGTATTTTCATGTATTGGGCTAATATCAGGGGGCCTCAGATTCCATATGTCTTCAGTGGATTGATAAATTTCAGGTTAATTTGTGCCTGCCTCAGCCATCTCTACTTTACCCGGAGGTATTCCACAATCCTCTTGTTGCAGGTGCTGCTAAAAACTCAAAATTGTGTATCAGATGTTTTGTTTCAAGTGTAAAAAGTCATCTGTGTTAAAGTAAATAAAAAGTGCTTTTTGAATAACCTGTATACAATGCTTGTGCTTCTTTCCTTTTTCTCTTTTTGAGTGACTGGTGGGTGTGACAGACAGTACTTATCAATCAAGTCACTCTTTCAGGCTGCATTGCATGTGGCTTCTGGATCATTTTTTCACGTGGTACTCCAAGCAGCTAATACCTAGTGATCAGATAGATACTCTTCTATTGGGAAATAAACTAAAAAAATTAAGGTGGGGAAGTTCCTCTTATTTTATGCCACTTTTTAATGTATGAAGAGTGTTGGGATTGGAAATTGGATCTTGACTCTCCACTTTATGTCTTCATTATAATTTAAACCAAATGCTAAAGCACCACAGAATATAAATAGAATATACATATTCCTTTTATTTTCTTGACTGGTATACTGTCCAGAATTTAGGAAACATGAAAATATAGGCGAAATAAATCAGAAAACAGGATAATTTTGTTAAATATTCTGTTCTCTTGTTTCCATATATTGGACTTAAAAGATCAGTATCAACAACTGGCTTGAATGTACACGGTGGTGACTTTAAAATTATTCAAGTACCTCCACAGCACATAATTTCATTTTATTTATTCCATCTGTCTCAGCTTTAGCCGTCTTTTCTCCTCGTTCTACTTTTGCCTGTTGGAACTTTGGGCGGTCGAAATCATGGTGGTGGTGTGTGTGTGTGGGGGGGGCAGATTTGTTTGCCTCCTGTAGTGGTTTTTATCTCTGAGAATAATCATTTAACAGATTATCAGACTCTGCTTCAAATAAAGCACCTGAAATCTTTTTTATTAGGTTATAATGATGTAACTTTTAATCTATATAAGATCATAGAGTCAATGTTGTAATGTACCCCGCGAATCACAGAAGGATGCCTCAAGAAGTCGAATTAAAGAGTCATGTTTATTGCAATCCGGGGCAATGAGGGGTCATTCCCAAATCTCATAGCAATAAGATGGTGGCAAAACCAGACTTATATAGGCAAAAATCACAAAGGTATTGATTACATCTCAGGGTTTGGAATGAGGCACCTGGCTCGCAAAAAAGCAGATTACAGAAGCAGAATTAAGCATGTTAATTACAGTTTCGGGTCTCGGGGTCACTGAATTGACAGAAATACATTATCTAGAGCCCTCGGATCTCCTGACCACTGAGTTGTCAGGACAATTTAGACTAATTGTGTTGTTCTGGTCTCGGGACCACTAAGTCAGCTGGAACGCACCACCTGTGGCCACTAAAACAATTTAGAGTAATTGTGCTGTCCTGTTTCCCGGGTACAGAAGAATGTGCTTCAATAACCAGTAAGATAACAATCAATGGGATAGTCATTCAATCGAACGGGATGATTTATACAATTCAGAAAATCAAAGTAACTTTTATATTGTTAAGCCGAACACCAGGGTTAGAGTTAAACTACAGTTTCCACCTGAAATGGTTGCTACCATACTTCATCACAAGCCCCTTAAAAAGGATTTGCTCATTCCAAACTTTTAAATATTCTGATATTTAAAAATCAGAAAACTAGCTTTCTATCTTTGCTATTTTTCTGCCTGATTGATAGCCCAGTGGGAAATCTCTTTCTCTTGATATCTTAAGAAATAGAATAGATCCTCAATTTTTTGGAAATAGTTTGCCCTATGGTCCTTCCAGAAACTGGAAGGTGTGGAATAGATGGTTTCCCTTCACTCTGTCATTGAAATTTTAAAACACTGGAAATTTGAGGCATTAATTTCAGTATAGGAGTTGGTATGGGTATCTCTACTTTCATTTTAACTACCTGCAGTAGTTCTAACTGCAACAATTTTTTTTTTTTACTCCAGTGATCCAGATAATAATTTCACTTTTTTCTCTTTTTGCTGTGGAGATGGAGGATTTATTACAGTGGAGTGCTTCTCTTAATCTTGATTATAGGGCAGGTAAACTGTGATACACCTTTTGATAAAATGTTAACATTTATGCATGAGTTTTTCCAGATTGGCCTCTTTCTTCCTCCTGCCTTCATTGAGGTATAATTTGCAAATAAAACTGAATTTATTTAAGGTGGTCAACTTGATGATTTGATGTATGTAAATACTGTGAAATAATTACCACAATCAAGCTAATTAACATAGCCATCACCTCACAGAGTTACCTTTTTTTTTCTGTCTTTAATTTCCTCAAGTTACCATCACAAATAAAGCCCTCATTCTTTATTCCTTTCTCTTTAAGAAAAGAAAGGGATACTAATAGAAACTAGGCATATTTAAAGAAAGGGTATTAAATATCCCCTTATTGATATATTTGTAAAAACTGTTAAGCAAGGATCTGCCTTTTATTTTGCTAGTGGAGGTAGTGATATTTGTATGAGGTTTGGTTTTGTTTTTGAGGGGTGAGGGGTGAGAATAAGTGTCTTCACAGCTTTGGATGTGAAGGAATTGTCACCTTTAGTCATATTAGAACTACTGCAGTGATCTGTGTGTCTTTGTAAATTTCGTTGTCTTCTCCAAGGCAACATGGAGAATTTTGGTTCAGCCATATTTAAGTGCCTGTTTAAACAGTGGGTTTTGTGAGTGCAAGTATGTATATTTTTTTAGTCAGCTGTCAGTTCCTTTTATGCTCTATGAATTATGGGTAAATGTGTAATAAGTCTCGTTTTAGCACTCCTGAATTTTAGCCAAACATGTCAAACTGCGCTTCCTCTACTTAAATTGTTGATAAAAAGGAATTACCATGAGAAATGCTACTGTAATGAAAGAAATAGCTCTGAATTCAACATTAGGTGTACTGATTAGAGTAAAAATACAAATCCTGTGATTCATTAGTGAGGAAACAAGAGATCGGTTTATCTCTTCTCATTTCTCCTTCACTTTTCTTGGCTGCCTCAGAAACAACACATCCAAGGGTGTGTCCCTTAACATATTGCTCAATATAGAATCTGCTGATAGATGAAAAAGTGTTGGTATAACATTTGAATCAACTCTTTTTCAATTTGTTTCCAACAGGAAAACTGTGTCACCTGTAAATACTTTAAAACTTTGTCTTTCTTTTTTTCTTATTACAATTGTTATACACACTCATGGTAAAAAAAATTGAGGAACAAAAGAAACAGATAAGCAAGATAAAGAAAATAAAAGTCATCTGTAACTCTATTATTCTGAGGCAGCCAAATTTTATATTACTTTTTAATGTGTATTTTTAATATTTATATAACAAAATGTATATTATATTGCACACACTGATTCTAATCTTTTCACTTGATAATATAAGACTTTTATCTGTCATCATATATTCTTCTAGGAATTATATTTAATGCTTGCATAATATTCTATTGAAGAATTTACTATAATATATGTAATCAAGGAGTTATTGCTAGACATTTGTTTTCCAACTGTCTCATTTTTATAAAATAAAACTGTGGTGAATATCCCTAATATTAACCTTAATTCACATCTCTGTTTATTTCAAATAAGTAATATTTATGGGTCAAAGAATATGGATTTAAATATATAATTGGCAAATTTTCCTCTAGAAAGTTGTCTCAAATTACATCAATACCAGTAGAATAAGAGGAGACCTATCAATCACTCATAAAATATTAGCTTACTTTTTAACCACATTTTCCCAATTTGATGGGTGAAAATGAGCTCATGTTTTGATTTGCATTTCTTTTACTCTGAGTGTGAATAGTTGTGCATATTTTTATTAACCTTTTTTTTCTTGAATTGAATAGCCCATTCTAGTCCTTAGCCCATTTGTGATGGGAAACTTTTTGTTTCTCATTGAGTGCTAGAAACTCTTTTTATATTATGGGAATTAACCTTTGATCTTATTCATATTGCTGGTTTTCTGCAATTTTATTCCATATCTCTTCCCTTTTAACTGTGTTTATGCTACTTTAAAAAAAAATACTGACACTTAGGCTGTTTCCAAATCTTAGCTACTGTAAATTGTGCTGCTATGAACATAGGGGTGCATATATTCTTCCTGATTGGTGTTTCTGGTTTCTTGTAATATATTCCTACAAGTGGGATTACTGGGTGAAATGGGAGTTTTATTTTTAATTTTTTGAGGAAACTCCATACTGTTTTTTACAGTGGCTGCACCAGTCTGCATTCCCACCAGCAGTGCAAGAGGGTTCCTTTTTCTCCACATCCTCGACAGCACTTGTTGTTTGTTGATTTGTTGATGATAGACAGTCTGACAGGTGTGAGATGGAACCTCATTATCATTTTGATTTGCATCTCTTGGATGATTAGTGACTTGGAGCATGTTTTTCATATGTCTCTTGGCCTTCTGAATGTCCTCTTTTGAAAAATTTCTATGTCCTTTGCCCCTTTTTTGATTGGATTGTTTATTGTGAATGTTGCATCCACTTGCAGCTAGGTTTCAAGATTTGGAGAAGGGGCTGCGTACAAATGGATATACTAGGCAAGAAATATAAATTTAGAAGGCATGGGAGAGCCAAGTGGAGGCTTCACTCTAGTGGAGAAGCTCCCTGAATCTCCGGACACATCAACTTTTTATTTACTAGAATACACATTTGCCCTTCAGCAAAGCAAACAGGCATACCAATGGTAAGGTTTGGTAAACAATGAAAGGATTATCAGGTTAGGGCCATGGATGGCAAACTGCGGCTCTCGAGCCACATGTGGCTCTTTGGCCCCTTAAGTGTGGCTCTTCCACAAAATACCACATGCTGGCAAGCACGTACAGTGTGATTGAAACTTCATGACCCATGTGCAGAAGTTGGTATTTTATGGAAGAGCCGGTATTTTGTGGAAGAGCCACACTCAAGGGGTCAAAGAGCCGCATGTGGCTTGCGAGCCGCAGTTTGCCGACCACTGGGTTAGGGGATTGCCTTCAGCCATTCAGCCAACAACAGGCAATATTATGCTGATTTTCAGCCTTTGCTGAATATCAAAGTCCATCAGCCTTCTAACGGACTCCTCACATTTATATGTTAACTGCTTGTTGGTCTTAGCCTCTGGCATTTCCCCCTTTTTTGTTTCTTAATAAATTTAGAAAGGTGTAT